GCATACTATTTTCCCATTTCGTAGATCTCATGCTTATCTTTTTTTTTTTTTATAAATTAATTTTTATTGGTGTTCAATTTTCTCATGCTTATCTTAAGCATCCTGCTACTGCCCGAAACTTAGGTTGTCACGAAAATTTTGCTTTTATAAACAACGCTTCAGCAAACATCCTCGTACTTCTATCTTTTCATGCTTAGGTGGTTACTCTCACAGGGTCAATTCCCAGAAATAGAACTGGCAAGTCAACAATCGTACACATTTCATATCTTGATACAAAAAAAACTCTTCCAGATAGATAGATTCCCAGCCTTCAGCCATATAAAAGATTCTCCATTTCTTCATCCAGGTAAAGAACCTGAACCTAGTGTCAGCTTAAAAAACAAAACAAAACAAAACAAAACAAAACGAAACTATACTAACCTAATATGTGAAAATAACATCACGTTGCTTTCCTTTGATTATTCTTGAGGCAAAGTATTTTTCATAGGTTCTGGCCATTTGTGTTTCCTCATTTGCAATTTTCCTGAATATTAAAAATCATGAGAAAAAAGAATAAATGTTAAGAAAATGCCATGTTGCGGGAGAATATCCATACAAGAAAAAAACCTGTATGGTGTATTCCAAAATGATTACAGACTGCAGAATCTTATTATAGTATAATATTTCTACTTAAAAAATATGGATATGCAAAACTAGAAAAACACATTCCAAAAGTTAAGAGAAATTATATCTGGGTGGTATTTGAGAAACAGGTGTTTGTTTGTTTGTTTGTTTAATGCTTAATCTCGGTTTTCAAGTTTTCTGCCATTAGAATGATTACTTTATAATTTGAAGAAGATCCCCAGAAGTACTCATAAAACCATGCAATATCCTTTATGTAATCTACACCACTCTGCTACTCCTTATGTGTAAATAGTTATGAAAGGATAGACTTTTTGAACTAAAAGGAACCCTGAATACCATATCCTGCCTGCACCCCATGGTGGAAATAAGAAAAGCCCAGAGTAGGCAGGTGAATTGACATGGCCAAGGTGTGCCAGCCATCAGAGCCAGTGGAGAAGCGAGGTAACATTTTGTGAGACACCAACAGAGAAGGAAGGACACCCCGTCCTCCTACCACCCCGGTGTGGGACTAGGACCATGTTGAAACCGCAGCAGCCTGAATGTGAGTTAGACTTTAGACACGTCAGAACTGGTGGTGGAATGGTGTGCCAGGAGTCTGAAATCTGGAGGTTTTAAAAACCAGGAGAGGGTCTGGAGGAGGCTCAGTGTAGTCCACTCAAGGGGAGAGAAACAGGTGATTCTGAGGTCCAGGGATCCGAGGTGATGGACGGCACGGGGAGGTCCACGCACACCAGCGCCTTTGGGAGGCTGCCCACACCTTCCCACAGAACAGAGCCCTCAGGGTGACCCACAGTCCGGCATGCTTCCCCCTGACTCCAGACTCTCCCCAACCCCTTTCCCTACTGCCCTTCCTCGTGGACCTTGAAACCAGGGTTTTGTTTTGCAATTTGTTGCAGATTTTTTTTTCTCCCTTCCCTTTCTTTCAAAAGCCTGTCTGGGATTCTGCTCCACGCGGAGGTTGGAAAGAGCAGCACGGCTGCCTCTGGAAATCTTGTTTCCCCTGCCACATGACATCAGTGGGTTATATTGCAACTTTCCACATGGCTGCCCAGACACAGACAGTTGTGTTTATGAAAATCCTCTTGATACCGACTTGGAGCCTCCCTGGCACTCAGGGCTCCTTCTCAGGCTGCGTGCAGTGTGTTCTGCTTTAGAGGAGCAGATGACAAAGGGTGGTTTGGAAGGCCAGCTTCTCCGCCAGGTGCTCCATGCAGGGGGAAGGCTCCCCTCCACCCCGAGCAGGAGCATCACTGCCGAGCAGGAGCATCTCTGCTCCCGGAGGCTCCAGTTGCAGAGGATCAGGGTGTCTGGACAGTGGGCCAGTTGGGGTACGCAGGGAGGGGAGGTGGGCAGGAAGGGTAGCAGCTAACCTTTGGGGAAAAGTTCTGGACTGGGGTCAGAGGCCCCGGGTTGGCTGGTTCTGTTGCTGACCTGCAGGGGGGCTTCGGGTAGGCCCCTTCACCAGTTCCGGTCTTAGCTCTTACTTTGAATTCCCTCAAACTGGAAAAGTGATTTCCGTTCCTCTCTACCAGTGGTGAGGATGGAGAGTCAGTGACAAGCAATAAAGGGACACACTGGGGAGAGAAGCTCGGCAGACTTAGGAAAGGCATTTCGACTCTCTGACCTTTAGCTTCCCCTCTATAAAATCACTGGTAAAAATGTTCATTCCTAAAGCCGCTCTAGTTCTAAGGGAAAAAAAAAATCATGACTTTGTGACTTTTTCTTTTTTTTTTCGTTTTAAGATTTTATTTATGTATTTGAGAGAGAGAGAGAGAGAGAGAGAGAGAGAGAGAAAGAGAGAGAGAGAGAAGAGAAGGAGACGGAGAAGCCAACTCCCCACTGTGCAAGGAGCCTGACACAGGGCTGGATCCCAAGACCCTGAGATCATGATTTGAGCCAAAAGCAATCACTTAACCAAATGAGCCACCCAGGCACCCTGGCTTTGTGACTTTGAGACCACCAGCCACGAACAGTAAAAAAATCCTTTGGTTCATACTCTGGGACCAAAGTCACCTGGGAAATCTTAACTATGCATCAAAGCTTGGGAGAGTTAATTGGGCGTAAATCCAGTGAATTGTGGCCCCTATATTCCCTTGCATACCATCCCTTCGGGCCTCAATCCCATAGGTATTCACTAGAGGGCAGGACTGTTTGGGAGTATCTGGGGTCTCCCTAAGCTCAGACAGCTGGTCTTTCCCTCCCAGAACTCCAGGTGCTGATGGCCTTCTACGATCCACCTCTGAGTTCCAGCTGCTAGACTGGCCCATGGAACATTCTCCCTGGGATGGCTGTCCTGGCTGCTCAACTAGAAGGTAAGTACTTGGGGTCTTTGTATTCTGCATACTCCTGTGCTCAGTGCTATTCATTCATTCATTCATTCATTCATTCATTCATTCATTCATCCTAAGCCTTGGACACATAGGGGGGACATGGTCTACTGGAAAGGGAACACACAGTGCCCTTCCTGAGCCCCTCATCCCTAGCTACCCACCCCAGGGAAGGCTAACAAGAGGAGTAGCAGCTAACACATGTGGAAGTCTGCTCTGAGAGCCATATACGGATAATTCTCACACTGACCCTGAGACGCATGCACTCTCATTACCTTGTACTAGATTTCTAGTTGAGGAAACTGAGGCACAGAGAGGTGAGGTCATGGTCTAAGGTCACACAGTCAGTGGTGGAATCTAGAAATCTAGATAGTTGGACTTCAGAGCTCGAGCCCTCAGCCACTGCACTCTTTTTTTGACCCAAACGCTCAGAGGAGGGAGGGATGGATTATGGGGAGGAGATGTTACAGTGGAGTTAGGAAGCCAGAATGGGTTCCTGGAGTCACAATGTTGTACTCTCTGCAAACAGACGTGACTGAGGCCCCCCCCACTCTGGCCAGCAGCTGGGATGGCCCAGTCTACTGAGCGAGGGAGCCAGCAGCTGCTCCACTCCCTATCTTTCTTCATGGCACCTTCCTAGGAGAAAAGGAGATGAGGTCACAGGAGCATCCAAGTGGCTCTTACCATCACACGGAGGGACTATCATCCTTGTGCTTTTTATCTCCATCACCATGAGGTTCCCACCCACGACAGCATAATACCTTTTCGTCCCCAACTACTTGGAATTCTGCAAAAGGAGGAATGGATTTGCTGGAAAGACTGAGAAGCAGAGTGTCCAGGACACAGCAACCATGGGAAGGCCCAGGAGGGGTGCTGGGGACTCTGAGCACAGAGGAAATGTAGTCCAGGCTGACAGTCCCATACTTCCGCCTTCCCGGCCAGTGTCTCTGCCAGCCAGCCAGAGGCCTGCTCCGGAGTCGGTGACATGCTTCTCAGGCGTGATTTAGAAGAGACTGTGCAGAGCGGTCATCCCTTCCTAATGGGCCTGGGTCATAATTCTCAGCAATCATCCTCCCCTTCCCCACTCCCACCCTTCCTGTGGCTACTGCTCAGTGGCGTTTAGAGCAGATTTAAGATCAAAATCAAATCAGATTCACCAAACAAGGTGTCAGGCCAGGCAGGAGGGGCTGGGGGCTCGGAGTTATAGCTGGAAGGCCTGGCAGTTCCTTGGAGACTATTAAGTGTGTATATTTTATGGCCAGACACAATGCTGAGAGAACCGTCCATAAACCAATTACAGGAAACTCCCCCACATGTCTAGGGGAATGCTGGTAGATGGCCAGCGGGTGGTGAGTAAGCACACATTTGCACCCACTGGGCATCCTCGGGGGTTCCACCTGCTGTGACACACTGGCTGGCTCCACCCTTAGGAGGACTTCCTGGAAAGGCTCAGCAAATGTGCTCTGCATTTAGAAGCAGTGAATTCTCAGTATGGATGGGGCCCATTTGGCCAAAGGAAAAATGGAAACTTGGTGGAGACAGGGAGAGTCCTCGCCCAAGGTCACACAGCTCCTGGGGACTAGAAATGGGTCTCCAGACTCCCATGCCCAGTGCTTCTTCACACCACCTATGCTCCCAATCTCTCATGGAAAAGGGCAGAGAGCACATTTCCCCGCAGATCCTGCCTGCCACACAGTTTCGAAAGTAATTTCCAGGAATCTCGCAGATCTCTGGCCCAGGTTAGGCCCCTGGCATGTGCTGGGGTGAAGGTCACAGTTTCCATTTCTGCCTCACATCCTGTGAGATACACCCTAACCCGGGATCCCCTGCATACCTTGTGCCCAAGTCCTGGAGACTGAGATGTGAGGAGTGCCCCATCCTTCCTACCAGAATGCCAGTCCCTCTGAAGGCAGAGGCTGTATTTATTCACCTTTTCTCATTTAATATGGTCTCCTGGCACAGAAGAAGTATTCAGGGCAGATGTACTAAATAGATGAGTGCATCTAAATGGCCACCATCACTATTGTTTTACAGAGGAGGATGCTGGAGCACAGAGGTACAGCGACTCAACCCAAGTCACACAGTGAGAGACGGACGCAGGCTGGGACCCAGGTCTTCATCCCCTGTGCCCCGTGCTCTTCCCTCCATGACTTGTTGCCTCCTGTCAGATTCCTCCAGCCAGGGTCCCTGGGGCTGAACAATTGACGTAGAATGAATCCTCTGCCCCCTTCCCACTGGGAAAATCCAGTCGTGCCATCCATTCTGCTACTGGGCCCCCCTTTAGAGTGGGCGGGCGTTAGGGGAGGGTGAGATCTCTTATGGAGGCCCCACGGCCCCTCTGCCCTCCGCAGGCCCCAGCCCTCCATGAGCATCCCCTGCTTCCCCTCCAGCTCTCTGTGCTGGACATCTCTGAGGGCCTGGGCGAGGCTCAGGGGAAGCAAAACCCAGGGGACCCAGCCGCTTCCCTGTCAAGTCCAGCTGCCCTGAGTGCTGACGGCCTGACAAGTGGCATTAGCATAAAAACCTCAGCGGTGGCAGCTGCCGGCTCTGTGCCAAAGCCCTGGGCGTCCCTGCTCCGTGCCATTCGCTGTCACCGGGGGCGGGCACCTGCCAGCCAGAGATGCATGGCTGTCTCTCACGCCGGGCTCTGGACTGCGGGCATCTCCTGCTCTCCGGGCTCCTGCTGAAGCTCTTCCAACAACCAGGCAGTCCCCTCGAACACCTTTCCCAGGGGGCAAGCGGCCTCCCTGCCTCTGTCTCCAGCGTTTCCTTGTTCCTAGAAGGGCCGCCAGTTCCCCCAGTCCCCTCCACTGTCCAAGGGGAAAATTCTGCTCTTGCAGGGTGACCCAGCCTAGTTTTCCCAAGTTCTCTGCATCCTGCTTTTAAATTCCTCTCTGTCTCACCAGGATGCCCTGTGTCAACCCAGGCATCATCCTGTCCAGGCTGACATAAGGGGGCCTAGCAAGCACTGCTGGGGATGAGGACCCTGGGTCTGGTTCAAGAGCAAGGGCACACACTTCCCTGGAATCTGAGCCTAACACCCCGTGACAGTGGAGTCTGCATCGTGGGAGATGTGGGAGGTGCCTTTCGTCTGGGTTAATGTTAACTGAAAGCAGGATCTCGGAGGTTAAACATGGGAGGAGGCCCCAGGGCTGGGACAGTGTGGGTGGGAGGCTGGGGCCAGATGGACCACCTTGCCCCGGGAGCCCTTGCCCCCAGGTGCCAGGACTGAGGTCTTGTTGCCTCCTCCCCAACCTTTAGAACTCAGGCCTGAAAATCTTCCCTGAGATTCCATAGCACAGACATTATAAAAACAGAGCAAAACTGTTGGGAGACGAAAAAGGCAGCAATTACAGTTAATCAAAGAGCCTATGAATCCTCTTCTGCTTTGAGTCCTGCTGGTCACCTGGGGCTTTCTACCTGGAGCTCCCTCCTCGCTGTCCTCCTCCTGTTCTCCCTCACCCCTTCTCCCCCACCCTCTCCCCCTCCACCTCCTCTCCTCCCCCTGACTCCCCACCCCTCCTGTCTCCCACCCCTACTCCCCTCCCCTCTTCCTCCTCCTCCTTTCATCCTCTTTCTCCTTCTCCCTTACACCAAGGACCACTGGCCTTCTTGGACCTTTGTGATATTCTTTCCTTTACCTGAAACCCCGCCTCCTGGGGCTCAGACAGGCCCTCCCCAGCTCCCGGCCTCCAGGCGCACCCCACTTCCCTCCGGGCATCTTGCTCTCCTCTTTCACAGATTATGAAATCGTATACATATTTTTGCAAACACTTTTCATGTTTAAAAATACTTATCAATTAAAGAAGGCCCTTCTTTTCCTTTTTAAATTAGGCTTTTTAAACCAAAGGAATACATACACAGAACTGAGAAATCAAATATAATGTCGAGAGATATTTCATGGCAGGCAGCAGGCGCTGATCACATCTCTTCCTCCCTCCAGAGATAACCACGTTCAGCTCTTGGCCATTTCTCCTCCTGTGTAGAGCCCTTCACCCAAGGAACATAGTTATGTTTCTACTTTTTTCCCCACATCGTATAATAAAAAAATTCCAAATGTATAAAAACGTTGGAAGGTGAATGCCCAATAAACCTACCAACCAGACCCTACAATTAACATTTTGCCATATCTGTTCTGTCACATAACTTTAATTTTCTGTCCTTGTCTCCAGCCATCATTCCATCTTACCTTCTGGTGCATTTCCAAGAGAGCTGCAGTGGTGAGTACACTTCACCCCTAAACACTTCACCAAGCATCTCATTAGCCTTCGGTATTTGCTGGTGGTTCTTTTTCTTTTTTTCTCCTTCCTTTTGAAATAAATTTTATAGGCAATGAAATGTACACATCTTACATGTACCAATCCATGAGTTCAGACCTAGGCATACGACTATGAAACCAAACTGTCCCTGAGAGGCAGTGCTTACGCCGCACCACCCCCCATCCCCCCCGCCCACCCAGGGGAGTTTCCTTACGCACCTTCTTGGTAAGTGCTGACTGCTACCCACACAAGGCAGGCGAGGCTGCTCCTGCTCTCTTTCTCTCACTCTGTTTTTTGACAGAACAATTTTTGACCTTGTCTACTGACTTCGTATTATGGCACAAGTCTTAGCTCATAACTTTCAGTTCCCATAATATACTTATATCACACTTTAAAAAATTAAATCAATACTCTTCCTACACAACAGTAAGTAAAAACTCTTTGCTCCCGAGACAGTATTGTACTCAACACTGATTATGTTTCCTTTCGTGTGCAACTTTATGCTTTTCCTCATTTTCGGCTTGCTTGCTTTCCCATACCCCTCTCATAATTTTTTCTTTATGAATCAACAGAACTGGGAAACCTCTATTGCTATTATTTGTCACATGAGCAAGTGTATCAAATAATCTATAACTTACTTTTATGTTCTTTTTTTCCCCCCCGAGGGAGACTGCCCTCCAATCTCTTGAGAGTGTCTCCCCTGCTGCTCCCTTTCTTGAAGCTTTTAGGAACCTCTCATCTCTGGTGTCTGAAACGTCACAATCATATGCCTTGGACCTCTAATGACCCTTCAGTCTGGAAACCAACATCTCTCAGTCCGGGGAAATTTTCTTCTATTATTTCTTTGATAATTATCCCCTCCATTTTCTCTAAACCTTTCTAGAATCTCCAATGGTCAAATGCGGGACCTTCTGAACTGATCCTTAGTGTTCTCATTTTCTCTCCCATTATCTGTCTTTCTCTTATTCTCTTTTTTTCTATTCCACTTTTGGGGAAATGTCCTCTATTTTATCTTTCAGACCTCTTATTGAATTCTGAATTTTTGCTATCATTTTTAATAGCCAAGAACTCTCCCTTATACTTTGGTTTTATACATAGTATCTATACATGCTTCTATCTTTCATCCATCCATCCATCTATCTATCTATCATCTATCTAGCTATCATCTCTCTTTCTCCTCATATTTTAGGTGAGAGGTCTGCTTTTATTCCTCTGAGAATATTGATATATATTTTTGAAGTTTTCTTCTATTCCTGACCTTGTCTCTGTTTCATCTGAGTCCCCCCTTTTTCCCCCTTCCTATTTACTTGTCTGGTCTTAATGGTGGAGGCTTCCCCAGAATGTCTGGTGATCCTTAGTTGTCCATACTGAAGATTATGGGTCATTAGACAAATCTGATTGGCAGCTCTCTGGTCTCATCTGGGTCCTATACGCTGGTGGGCTTCACCGTAGAGGGAATGGATGGGGAGCTAGCTTTTTCTGTGGAGGACACTCAGTATTGCCTTTTACCCCCTTGGTCCACTCAGCTTTTTCAGAGAAGAATTCTCCTGCCTCTGGTCTGGGATGGTGGACCAGGGATGGGAGTTCAGGGCTTTCCTGGCATTTGTCATTATCAAAGCTCTGTCGGGGAAGGAGGGTGAGGATCTTGGCTGTTCAGGATGCAGAATTTACCCCAGACTTCCTGCTTTATGCTCAGTGCTGATACTTTACGCTCATCTGTCAATGAGCCTGGTGTCCCTGAGCCTGGTGCTCTCTGGTTCAATTTCTTCAGAGGATGGCTTACTCCTCTCCTGGTTTGGGAGAAGGGTGCTAGCCTGACTGCTCAGGGAGGGAGGGAAAGTCTGAGCAGGGCACCTATTTTAGCCCCTTTGGAAGTCTGGCATGCCTGATGCCCCTGGGGCAGGGAGCCGGTTTCCTCAGAGGCCACACCTCCTTCCCTCCTGCAGGTGGGGGCCATATAAGCTTCCTCCATTCTATTAAGTCACTTTGTCACTCTTCCATTTGCTTTGTCTCTCCCGAATTTGATGACATTTGTCCTGTGCTGCTGTCATCTTTTCCACTTGCCTTTTCCTGGTGGGTTTTAGTGACTTGAATCTCACATTAGTGGGATTTCAGGAGGGAAGAGTGATAAAAAAAAAAAAAAGATATCAACCCACCATGTTTAGCCTGAAGCTTTTTATTTAATATCTGCCCCTCACACAAAATTGTGGAAGCCCCACAGATAGGGATTCTGTGTGTCTTGTTCAACACTTTTCCTGCACTTAGCAGTGGGCCTAACTCACACTAGGTTCTTAGAAAACAGATACTGACTAAATTAAAAGGGTGGAGGACCTGGGGGTTTTTCTGTGTTTTCTTATTTATTAAGGTCTGCTGCACCAAAAGTGGGGTGGGGGGGATGGTCCTCGGTCTCTTCTGGCAAATGAGGAGCCTGACTCTGACTGGGGATTATTAGATTATCAGATGTGGTGGGGAGGGTCATATCTGTGATGTCAGAAAAAAAAATCACAGATGGACAATCTCTGGACTCCCACCTTAGAGCATTATGGAGGCTGACTGGATGCCCCCTAGAGGGTTTGTGGGGGTGCCTGGCAGTGAAGAGGCAGGGCAGGGGCTCCAGCCCCATGCCTGTCCCACTGTCCCCTTCCCTGGCCCCCTTCCCTGAGCAGGGCTTTCTGTCTCAGCTGGAGGGAAGGGAGTGTCACTGGACTGGAAGCCTCTTTCCTATCCCTAGAAGGCCCCAGGAGGGCTGCAGACCTCAGCACTGAGCCTAGATGCCCCCGTGATGAGCTAAAAATATAGCCATTGGTGTCCCCCCTCCCCCCTCTATCTTAATGTGGTTTTAAAATAAGTCAGCCTCTTTCGAGTTCTGCTTTCCACTGTCATTTATTTCAGTTTTTATCTCCACAACAAAAATTCCTTCCAACTTTTTTTCCCCCCTCTCTCCCTGTAATGCTCTTCACTTTCAAATGCTAATAATCTCCAGCTGTAAAAGGCTTAGAAGTGGCTCTAGATTGTTTGATCTTTGGCCTGTGATCTGCTTTCATCTCTCTGCTTTCAAATGTTACTTTAGATTTACTTTAACCTATTAACATGCTTGGTATTCACGGACACGCACTCTCCAAACCGGCTTCCCAGCACCCCCCGCCCCATTATAACGAGACTAGGGAAGTGACACGGGGCGCGCGCGTGTGCGCGAGAGCGAACCTGGGCCCGCGGCGGGAGGCCTGGAAGGCAGGGACCGCGCAGGGGGGCGGGCGGAGGGGAGGTCCTGGGGGGGGGGGGAGGGAAGGGAACTGGGGCAGGGGACCGTGACCCGGAGGCTGGAGAGGAGAGGAAGGACGAAGGCATGGAAGCCAGAGACAGGGAGAGCGGGATGGGGACGGGATGGGGACGGGATGGGGACGGGATGGAGGGACCGGTCCCCAAGGCTGCTTAGACCCGATCTCCATCCGCTCCCGGGGAGTGGGGGGCGCTGAATTAGGGCTTGAGATTTCTTGCTCCCATCATTGTGCTGGAATGTCTGCGTGTTCGTTTCCACAGGAAACGCCAGGCATGAATATGGATGAAACTCCTCACTGAGACCACAAGGGTACGGCTCAATTATTTGCCATATAAAGTAGCACATGAGGATTCTTTGCGCTTGATCGTTTCCTCTGTGTAGGGCTGGGTGCCCGCGTGCTCGCGCGCCTGTGTGTGCTGGGGTGGGGGGGGGTGCGCGGGGTTCAGGGAGACCCTCACTGCAGGCCCGGCCGCCTGGGGAGGGGGTTGGGAGAGAGACCCCGCTTGTCCATGTCCCCCACCCCCACCCCCCACACACCCAGTGACATCTGTGACTCCACAGCCACCCAACGGCCAAAGCACTGAAACCGCAGGAGGCTCACTGATACCAGAATTTCTGGAGAACCCAAGGGCAGAAGCCTGATGGCCCCTTCCTTCTGAGCTCTTCTGCTGTTTGGCGAGAAAGCCTGAGCCAGCTGCCACTGCTCCCTGGGAAGGCAGGAGGGAGAGGCTGTCTTGGCTGGGCTGGGAGGGACACCCAGGGAGGCCAGAGTTCCCCCCCGGGGACAGTCTCCCCATGGAGGAAAAGCGGCCCAAGCAACTGGGGTCAGAGGAGTGCAAGGAACCCTCAGCTGGCATCAGAACGTCTAGAGTTCAAGTCTTGGGCCAGCGACTTCACCCCTCTGACCTCAGTTTCATTCTCCATGAATGGGCTAACAGTCAAAAGGCAGTTGTGGTGGCCCAATAATCCTAGCAAGGATTATAGTTCTATTTCACCAAGCACTCAACATGCAGCAGGTACTATTCTATGTTATTAATATTAACTCACTTAATCCTCCATTAATCCTCAGTTAATACTCATTTAACCCTATGAGGTGGATAGTATTATCAGCCTCATTTTGCAAATAAGGAAACTGAGACACAGAGGGTTTAAGCAATTTGCACAAGGTCAGGCAGATAGTGCTAGAATGTTTATTTTAGGCTAATTAGGCTCCTGGGTCACATGAACTCATCTGTTACCTCACTGAATCCTACAACATCCCCCCTGGGTGGGTATTGGCCCACCGACTCCACACAGAGCCCAGCCGCCCAGCCTGGGTTCTCTGCTGCCCAGGCCTACGCTCCTTATCATCACACTCTGCCACGAAGATGCTTTTCAACTGTGAAGGGCTTAAAGTGTCAGTTATTATTATCCACAAATGTTGGGGATTTCTGCCAGAGGGAAGACTCATGTTCTGTGAGTCGGAGGTCTAGGGTCCTAAGGAAAAAGCGGAGTACCTACAGGCTTGTCCTCTCTCTCTGACCTTCTCTCTGGCAAACCAGAACCTTCCTGCTGTAGCCAGGCAGTTGCTTCTGGTCCTGAACAAAGAGGAAAGAAAGGGCGAGTAGAGGTTATCCTGCTCTGCATGTAACGCAACGGAATCAGCACGAGGTGGGGGGGACCAGGGACCCATCTTAGACCAGGGGACCACCTGGACTGAGCCCACTTCATGGCCACCACACCCCAGCTTCCCCCAGTGGACGTGGTGGAGGAGGGCAGGGTCGAGGGGGGCTGAACAGAGCGGTGACCCTAACTGAGCCCACCTATGGACACTTGGCGGTGGCTCTCAATCTTCCCCGGCCCATCAAAGCCAAAGGGAAATGGATCCAATCTGAACACTGTCACGTGCTGGGCGACACGTAAAGTATTTCCACACCAATCAGCATGTTCAAACTTGGCACCGACCCTGTGAGTTAGGCATCCATCCGCATCATCATTTTGCAGGTGCTGAGAATCTTAAGTGACTCGAACATGGTCACGCAGACTCTCTTTCCAGCCCGCTGCCTCCCGTAGGTCTCAGTAGATGTAGACTGATGGTGATAATCCAGTAGTGAACTTGTAGGCAGCTTCGGGGGCCCGCCGGCGGCCTACATACCGGTGATCCTGCAGTCCCCCAGGAGGTCTCATTTTGCCAGGCACTGGATGTCCCTGGGGCAGGGCCAGGATCTGCTTGTGACCTGATAGAACCCAAACTTAAAAAATTTCTTTCTGTCACTCACTTTGGGATCTGTCTTCCCCTGGCAGCTCGCCTGGCCCAGGACCGAGCCTTGCCCTTCAGTGGCTCAGCTCTTTCTCTGAGCTGACTGTGTGCCCCCGGATAAGAAACTCAGCCTCTCTGAGCCTCAGTTTCATCATCTGCCTAAACAGTGAACTAGTGGGTTGGTCCTAATGAAGCAGGGCCCAGGGGGTGCTGCAGCCCTGGGGGAGCTGTGTCTTCTGCACCACCCACTGGGCTCTTCCTGGGGAGGGGACCATCACACAGAGTCCCTACATGTGAGGCTGCCAAAGAAGGAGGGAAGAACACTTGGATCCCCCAGTTTTTTGCCTCCAGCAAGTTCAGGGGCTCTGCTACTGACCCCATAGAGCGTGCAGTCTTGAACCCGAGAGGCTATTTTCAGAGGTGCCTGCCAGGGGCATGACGAACACCGGAAAACCCTGCATTGGCTACGTGGCCTCTCACCTGAAACCCGGGGTTGGGAGGAGCCTTTCTGGGTCCCTGTGAGAGTCGGGGAGAAATCAGGGGGCTGATTAGGGCGCTTGTTCTTGCCACTCTCTTTCCTCCTCCGGTGCCAGCCTCACCAGGAGGCCTGGGAGCTGGGAGGGGCAGTGGGCACTGAGAAGAAACCCCCCTTCCTTCACACCCACCCACCAGTCCTTAGTCACTGGAAAGAGCAAATGCAAATGGATCCAAAGCACAATACCCAGAATACACTGCCACGCTTCCTAGGGGCTCACTCTGTCTTAGAGCTGGGCTCCTCCTGGGGGCTGACATTTCCCCTGGTTCAAACAACATCTGTGGCTTACTGAGCTTGGTGAAAGGTGAGGGAGCCAGCCACTGCCACTGTGGACTCCAGGGAAACGGAAAAACCCAGCCTCGCAGGTCCCTCCCTCCTAGAGGGGGTGCTGGCCCTCACCCGCACACACGCTCATGTACACCCACACGTGTCCCCACAGTGCACACTCCCGCACCCCGTATAGCCGCTCATCAGCCCACATGTGTGCATTCCCACGTATGCAGACTCACATGTGTGCCCTTTTTAAAAAAAATTTATTTACTTATTCATGAGACACACACACACACACACACACACAGACACAGAGGCAGAGACATAGGCAGAGGGAGAAGCAGGCTCTCTGCAGGGAGCCCAGTGTGGGACTTGATCCCAGGACCCCGAGATCACATCCTGAGCCAAAGGCAGAAGCTCAACCACTGAGCCACCCAGGCGTCCCACATACATGTCCTTTCATGCACACTGTGGGGCACCCAGACGCACCCACAGGGGTGCATGCACACATCCATCCACGAACAACGCCCAGACCTCTGTGAATGAGAGGAGAGGGTGTGCCCCCACCCCACCCCCACCCCACCCCCAAGATGAGAGAGGGTGGAACGGGGGGGGGGGGGGGGGGGCTGCTGAGGGCTTGAAATAAATGCATTCTGAAAAGAAGGGCTGTCTTCCCCTCCAGGCTCCAGGCCAAATCTCCAAATGAAATCAGGCCGGGGAGAAATGAACAACTGAGATGCACAAAACAATGTGAAGAAGAAACGAATAATAATATAAAAAAAAAAGGTGAGAGTTATTTTTCAGCTCACTGGCTTTCTGAAAAGTAATATAAAGTTGAGCAGCGTCTTCTTGGAATCGACCTTTCTGAGCCGAGACCCAGGCCACGCGCACATCTCTTTCCTCTCTTTCTATTACCCGAAATTTGTATGGTTTCATCTCCTCTGATTTTCTTTCCTGTGTGCGCCTGTGCAAACCCCGCGTGTCAGGGGCTTGTCCCTAACCCAGAGGCCCTGCCATGCCCGGAATGCTTCTCCCTGGCTCCCTGCGGGGCGGAGAATTGAGAGCCTCCCCTGCAGCTCCCCCTCCAAAGTTGAGGTCCTGTCCCTCCTGCTCAGCTCTGTCCTCCTCCCTGCCCAGAAGGGGCTGCAGCTTCTCCCCACCCAACACCCACCCCCTGGCCTCCCGACCTCCTTTGTTCCAGAGACAATTCTCTTGCACACTGTTCCTTGAAGCAGGGCTGGAGAGGGAAGGGCGGCTGGGCCCAGGGGCTCAGGGTCCTGCTGCAGGGAGGACAGGGGAGATATTTGGTGAGTGCACGAGAGAGCCGGTGAATCATAAAAGGACTCTGCCTTCTTCAGAGTATGGAGGGGGAAAAGTTGCCATTCTAAAATATCTGGGGAGAAGGTTAAGGAAGGAGAGATCCAGAATCTTCCCAACAATAATGACATCCCCTGTAGTTCCAGTCAATTCTCCCCTAGAAGTGAGGCTGGAAGGATTCACCTAATGATGGCCCCTTTGTCTGCCCTCTTCTGGCACCTCCCATCCCCAGGCACACACTCATGGACACATACACGTGGACCCCACACAGACTCACATGCATGAGCACTTCGGACACATCCATACAGCCCTGAAGCAAACACACGGATGCAGTCTTCATGCACACATAGCTCAATCACATCCACGTGGATACACACATGTACCCCTTACATGCACACACATACACACACACAGGTGTACATGTACTTCCTTCTGCATGGTTACCTTTGATTTTATAACTTTTTATATTTTCTTTTTTTCAAAAAATATTTATTTGAGAGAGAGAGCATGAGCAGAGGGGAGGGCCAGAGGGAGAAGCTGACTCCATGCTGAGCAGGGAGCCTGGTGCGAGACTCCATCCCAGGACCCCAGGATTAGGACCCTAGCCAAAGGCAGACGTTTAACCAATTGAGCCACCCAGGCACCCCACGTGGTTACCTTGTAGGCTGCACTGGTGCCTACTCCAGTGAATGGTGTCTACTCTCAACTTGTACTTCCTGCCTCAAGGAGGTGTGGGGACTTAATGATCTGTATCCCTATTAACTTTTGTAATGAGACATCAAAGGTGGGGAGAAAGTGCCTGGAGGTGTCTTTGCTACAAAGATGAGTGAAGGGTGTGTGGCTTACTTCAGACTGGCGGGGGATTGGCGTCAGGAGGACCAGTCAGACACCTGCCCTTGGCCCACCCAGGAGAGATAATAAGCACTGATGGATGTGTTTTGGGGTGGGGAAATGAGGGCATGGGGACATAGGTAAGGTAACTGAAGCTTTCTCTGGAAGAGACTAAGAGGTCTAGTGTAGAGATGGGTAATTCTGATGCATGTCGCCTGATGTATTCTTGTCCTTACCCAGCCAGTGGTCAAAGTACAAGATGAGCCGAGTGAGAGGCTTGGGACATGACATGATATGAGGAGTGGGCGGCTGTGTGCCCTCAATGGCAACGGTTGCCCTGAGTGAATCCTTGGCTTTTTGCCTAAGTGCTTTCTCCTTCATTATGTCATTTCTAACATCGCAACCACCTTCTCACAGACCTGGGAGCAGGTATTGGTCGGCCTGTCTTATAGGTGAGGAATCTGAGGCTCAGGTAAGGTGAGCGACTTGCCAGGTGGATTAGTCAGGCTGGACTTAAGGCTATAACAAACAGCTCCGAAATCTCAGTGGGTTAGCTCCATAAAAGTTTCTCAGGCCCCTCTTCAGTGAGAGTTGGGGAGGATGCTCTGCTTGAGGGGACCCAGGCTCCTTCTTGTGGCTCTGTTATTCTTAAGGTGCTTGGAGGATCTTGATTTGGCAGGTGGATGGGTCAAGCAAGTGAGCGTTTATGCCTAATGCCTATTATGAGCCAGGCCCGGAAGTGGTCGTTACACCCCTGTCCACATCCCATGGGCTAGAATGTAGTCCCCTGGCTACATCTACGACAGGGAGACTAAGGAATGTAGTGTAGCTGTGGGTCCAGGAAGAAAAGGAGAATGCAGATGAGCCCTACCAGTCTCCACCATGCTTGACCCACATGGCCAACAGCAGTGAGATCCATCCTTTGACCTAGGTTCTGATCCCAGTACTGTGCTCTTCCTTCCAACACTTTACTTTGCAGTCTTAAGCTTTTCCAATGTTTCCAATTCCAACAGAGCAATGTTCCTGGTTTTTTTCTAGGTCGGAGCATCCTTACATTTATAAGAATATAATGATAATGACACTTGTATCTCCCTATCTGTCCTATTATGCACACATCTCATTTACTCTCACCACCACCCCGTAAATTATATGGTATAACCCTACCCTCTACCTGAGGACAGTGCAGCTCAGTGAGATTAAGAAGCTTCCCTGAGGTTGTGGGAAAGTGAGAATGTGAGTCTAAGCCTCTCTGGCTCGGGTCTCCGTCTTTCTCACATGCTGCTATGGCTCCTGCTGGACTTGGGATTGGTGGCTGAGTAGGTGGAGAGTCAGCCTTCTTAATCCTGCAAGGCAGACTTCCCTGATGAAGCTTAAGTAGGGTGCATATGGATGGGCAGGGTTCTTGCTGCCTCCTGCTCCGGGAAGCATCTGGAGAAATAGGGGCCTAGGCCACTGTAGCTTAGTTTATGGTCACTGTGTCCTTGGAGATACTAGCAGGGCTGGGAACCGAGTTCCAGTTAATATGATCATGAGCGAAGCCTCCTGGGTTAGGAGTCAAGAGATATTCATGCAGAAACTCAGCCATAGTTAACTGAGCAATTTTGGGGCATCTCGCTTACAGTCTCTGGGGTTTGGCATCACACCCCCTCCTCCAGCAAATGGGAGACTATAGACACCCCCCTCATTCCAGAACCTAACAGGCTGTATAGCCTCCTAACTGGTTTTACCAAGGCCACATAGTGTGTCTCTAAACCCTTCCTGCACATCCCGGAAAGGAACTTTCTTAGCCACACATACATTTCATTCTTCTGCGCAACAACATTTGTGACTGTCATAAGGTCCAAGCTCCTTAATTAACTCCTCGTGTTTCTTTCTACTCTGCCCATAGGTTACCTATCTGGATGGATCCTCCTTGCCTCTTGGAAATATATCGAATACTCTTGCCACGCCTCCTTTTTCCTCCCTCCCACATCCCACTGCGGGGGCAGCCTCATTCCTAGCCTACCCATCACCACTTCTAAGATACCTCTCTTGATCACCCAGATCACCTCCACTCTTATATCATCGCATTTGTACCCTCATGTGGTGCTTCCCTCCAAGGCACCTGTGGCACCATGGTCTTCTGAGAATGCGTCTTATCTTTTTCCCCAGCTGTGAGCTTCATCAGGGTGAGAGCTAAGTCTTGTACAATTTGTACCTTTGGATATAACAGCCCTCAGACAATGGTTTACGCATGAAAAAATAATCACAAGATAGCCAAGACTTTCAGTGATATGCAAATGAAAGACTTGGCTTAGGAGTCATCATTAAAGTCTATTTGACTGTTTTCTGCCAGCTGGGCATTGTGAGGCAGCTCCTGCGTCTTGGAGGGCCGCTCACGGGGTTTATCTGTAAGGCTGTATGGGTGGGACCTGGAAACATAGACTTGTGGTGCTTTGGGTTGTGTATTCTCTGTCCACTGAGGGGATAAAAGCCCAGACCTCTGACAGGCTAACCTGTCAGGTAGAAGAAGTAAGCTAGGCAGGTGCATTTGGGGAGCTCTTCAAATTGAGCTCTCTTGGCTTTTTGCCCACATTCAGCCCCTCCACACCAGGCCAAATTGTAGGCTGAAGCCAGTGGAGAAAGTAATGGATTGGAACCAGGATGCTCAGGTTAAGTGGGCCGCTTTGTGGAGCTCATCCATAATCCTGCTGGAGCCTAGAGAACAATACGTTAATTAGAGCCGACAGCACTGCTCCCACCAGCCATCCATCCTGCCTGTGTCTGCAGGGCCTTCCCCATGGACACGCCAGCCCACTCCCTTCTCTGAAAGAGATTTATTCATTATCAATGTTTGTCTGTGAGAGGGACCCAGTGGGGAGGGAACGGGATTCTAAAGGGGCCAGGATATGAAAGAGGCAGAGCTGAGGCCGCTGGCAGCTTGAACAATGGGTGTGTTTGGGGGCTGGAGATGGGGTGTTCCCAATTAGGAGGATGAGGCAAGTCCATTGCATTGGACAGGGGAAGAGGTAAGCCAAATGGAATTAGAAGAAATTCAGTAAATGTGTCCAACAAGTGGTCCTTGTAGGAGTTTTAGCTTTGGATCTAGCTCACTTGAAGCCACAGTTGGTGGGGGGTGGGGGGGGTGAGGAAGACGATAGGGAACAGATGAATCCCATTTATCTAAGGTCTACCCTAGTGGTTGTATTTCAGAAGCACTCAAAAAGTGCTTGTTGAGTGAATAAATGTCTTTCATGGCAGCCAGAGGGCTTTAGGTTGGACATCAAAAGGAACTCATTGCCAAGAAGCAAGAAGAAATAGGAATGAGAAAGAGCAAAAATGGGTTTTGGGGTTCTTACCCAGTAAGAATCTTTTGAAAGAAAGGGAGATATATTTCATTTTTTCCTGGATTCCATGGTCTATGTCTCATGTAGAATTTTGGAGAAAATGGGAGAGGACCAGCTTTCCTCAAGAAAGTGAGATAGTGGGGATCCTTGGGTGGCTCAGTGGTTTGGCACCTGCCTTCAGGCCAGGGGATGATCCTGGAGTCCTAGGATCGAGTCCCACATCAGGCTCCTTGCATGGAGCCTACTTCTCCTTCTGCCTGTGTCTCTGCCTTTCTCTCTCTCACTGTGTCTCTCATGAA